GTTTAAGAGCTCTAAACTGAACTGACTGATAAGACGAGAGCTCTAAACTGACACTGAACTGACTGCCAAGCAATCAGTCAGTCAGTCAGTCTCATCAGTTTGGATTGATTGTTAGCAACTCTGGATGAGCGATAGCTGGAAGCGAAGATCCCATTTGGATCCCACACGACTCCATTTTTCATCAAAGAAAATCGTGTTCCAACAGCCAGGAGCTATCAACTCTTGTAAGGTCCAGCCGCGTGAGAACCTGGGCGCGAAGTGAGTCTGAGTTTAAAAGGGGCTGACAGAAATTACCATCGACATTGTGATAGCTGCGTTCCCACGTCCGCACCTTCCTCAAGGTCCGAAAGATACACGAGACATCTTTCACTTCGTTCGTACCATTGATACATTGAGTTGATAGCCTCAGTTAATTCGGCGCTGCTGCTCTTGTCAATGCAACATGTGTCTACCCAAGCATATAGCACACCATTTTCTTTAGCTAGTTCAAGCGTCTTCCTGATCTTTCTATATCCTTTCTTGTGTAAACAAGCACAGCCGAGATAGTCTTGATAAGACACTTCCTCTTCCTCCCAAGTATGAGACAGTATTGCATATTTTGGAATAGCTCGACCAATGAACTCTTCGAATGCTCCCGTGCTGGTGTTGATGAGCCGCATATCGTAAGGTAGGCAGGACGAAGTGAGAGGGCTATAAGGTGTGGTTCAAGCGATGAGAGTTGGCGATCAGGCTGAACAAGGTGAGGGGGCTCAGCCTCATCGCTTACGGTGGTCGATGGGAGGGTGCCACCCCTACCTCCATCACCCAATTGGATGTTGATAAGGCATATTCAAACAAATGCAGTTTTGCAGACTACTGTATATACTAGACTCTAAATGAGTTGAATGGGTTGAACTTCATCGAACGACGAGAATGGGTGGCTCTGCTGCAAGCACGGATGCAGTATAGGGTCTCCAACGTTAACCTTCTGACAGTTTCGTTATTTAGCTACACGTAACGGATATGTGTGGTGTTGCTGTCAGCGTTGCTCATCGCGTCGGAAATGCGCTAGCTCATTAGCGGCGAGCGCGACGTCATGGTGATTCGCGTGTCTGGCGTGACGGCTCCACTTTCACAAGCTTCGAGGACGCGCATCTCTCTCCGTTAAACCTCTGGTACCTTGACTGCCGAGTGATGCTTGTCGCTTAGCAAACATGGCATCTGTGAGCGATGTTCTTACGCTCGTAAGCTCTTTGGCTCTTCGCCTGAGCATATGGATCTTCCTGCGATGGGTATGTACCTGGAGAGCGACCAATAGCTGAATGCATGTAGCTAATCAGTCTGCAGATACCCACGACCATCGTTCCTGCACTTGCAACTGCGCTCACGCTCGTCTACATCCCCTCTTTCTTCACCAGCTTCCAGGACACGGCGCAGTACAAGATTATATCCGATGAACTCGACATCATCGTGAAGGAGACTGTTGGAGGACGCGGCGACGACTCTAGCGAAGAAGTACAACTCATCGACGGTGCAGATGAAGGGCCACTGAAGGAGCTTGACGTCGAGGAGACTATTCAATATGAAGAGAGGGAACCCAAAGTGCTGCGCACACTGCTCACTGGGCTTCCAAGCCCTTCATCAGCCATGTGGAGCTGGATCACCTTTGGCATCAACATGGCCTTGATTGCCATGGCTCTGGACGTGGTCTATCGCGCCCCGCTACTTCACCAATGCCATGATGCAAGTTTTGCGCGTGTCGGATACGTATCTGAGAACAGCGCAAAGATCTTGGTACGCGAGCCGTATGCCTTCGACGTAAAGGTCCTCTATCGCTCGATCGATGGTACCGAACGGTCGTGGATGCACAAGACGCACCACGCCAGCCAACCCGAATACTGGCTGACCAATGAGACCGACTTCACAACTGTCATGAACATCGAGCACCTACGACCCGACCTGCCGTACGAGTACATCGTCGAGACTTCGCGTGGGAACATTACGGGCACCTTTACAACCGCCCCACGACCAGGCCGCATATCGATGCTGAAAGACAACAAATATACCTTCGTTCACTCCAGCTGTATCAAGCCTCGCGTCCCATACACACCATTTCAACATCCCCTTGAGTTCCCAGGCATGAAACACCTTGCACGATGGCTGCCAGAACTTAAGCCATACTTTATGCTTTTCCTTGGCGACTTCATCTACGTGGACGTGCCACACCGCCAAGGCAGCGATGTTGAGACATACAGACGCGAGTACCGTCAGGTCTATTCATCGCCTTCATGGCCGGCAGTGAGCGAAAATCTGCCTTGGATTCATGTCATTGACGATCACGAGATCCACAATGATTGGAACAGCAACATGACGGGCGTAGCGGTTCCAGCGTACGATGCCTTCACACACTACAACGCAGCTCCCAACCCACCTCCTCACCGCGAAGGAGCCACCTACTTCTCATTCACCCAAGGTCCCGCCGAGTTCTTCCTTCTCGACACCCGCCGATACCGTACTCCTGCGAGCAAGGACGCTTCCGATCCCTCAAAGACTATGCTTGGAGCTCAGCAACTCTCCGACCTACTCGCTTGGATTCAAAAAGTGCCACCTCCAGGTGTTCACTGGAAGTTCATTGTGACTGGCACACCCTTTACAAAGAACTGGCAGTTTGGGTCTGAAGACACTTGGGGTGGACATCTGTACGAGCGTAGACGTATACTGGAAGCTGCATGGGACCTTTCTTCTACGCATGACATCGGCGTTGTAGTTCTTAGCGGTGACCGCCACGAGTTCGCTGCTACTTCTTTCCCACCACCCAAGGATGGCAAGTGGCCCACTAGCGCTACAGTACATGAGTTCAGCACAAGTCCCTTGAGCATGTTCTATTTGCCCTTCCGGACTTACAAGGAGACTGATGACGAAGACGTGTGTCTCAAGTACCTTCCAGATGGAAACAGCAAGTTTGGTGCTGTGGAGATTACAACACCCGAACACGGTGAGCAGAGCTTTGTCAACTACCGGCTATTCATCGATGGCAATGAGGCTTGGACGCATTCCATTAGCACGCCGCCGGGAAGGAGTGGAAGTCATCGAGCGAAGGATGCTGTCTGGGGATAATGGACGAGTGTATGGGGAGACAAGAAGAAGGTTTGTGGATTTAGCGATGGGTAGACGTGCTTCATTAGGAAACAATCACAATTCATCTCTTTCTCAAAGAATAGTGGTCCTGAATCTGGGTATCTTCCATTGCTGTCATAGGCTCAATGCTATAGTATGTTTCAACCCCACTTCCTCTTCGCCTTCTCCTCGTCCTCTTTGGTCCACTCTCGCGGCAATACCGCGAAGACGAGGTACGAAGTATGCGTCTTGAGCTCCGGCTCCGTCCTATGCACCAACCTACCCTCCTTGAACAACGTCCGATTCTCCAACTCCTTTTTCGTCTGCGCAAGCCTATCATGCTTACTTGGCGGCACCCCCTCCATTTTCTTCTTCTTGCCCTTGCCTGCCTCACCACCCTCGCCGACGGCCTCACCCCGTTTCCTTGCCTCAGCTTTGCGCATGACCTCTTCCTGCTTCTCGCGCTGCATACTGTGAAACACAGCTGCTCGACCTTCTACATCCCTCAGTCTTTGTACTGCTTCCTGAACATTCGCGGGATGTGCGTTGCCGCCACGAACGCCTTCTTCTTGGAGACCCACGCGCTCCCGACGTACGTCGAGGCGCTTCGCCTGGATCTCCACCATGTCTATTTCTACCCAGCCGAGGGTGCGGAGGGCAGAAACGGTCTTTGTGACTTGCTCGATGCAAGGGGAGAACGTGCAGATGCGGACAGCATTGCGCGGGTTAAGGGGGCTACGGAAGGGTTTCGAGGATGCGGTGGTCGGCTGCGCTTCGGCTGTAGGAAATGTAGGGTCGTCTGAGGGAGCTGGAGTGGATAGATCTGAAGCGACAGACTTCAGTGCTGCGGAGGAAGGAGGTGAGCGTGTAAGGTGTTTGAGAGCGTGCCATGGCGCTGGCAGATCGAGGAATATGCAGTCGGCATCTGGGCCTGCCGCATCGTCTAGGCCAAAGCCGCCGTTGTATACGTCGCGGTGCGTTACTGTAACCAGCGGATCCAGGCCATGATCCTTGATCTCAACCTTCAATTGGTCGGCGCGTGGTTCGTGGTATTCAAAGCTGTATACGCCGCCAGTCCTCGTCTTGCGCTTCCTCTTCTTAGAGATGCCTACTGCATTTTCCTCGTCCCCGTTTGTCTCGGTCTCAGTCGCAATGTCTTGCATCCCAGGGTAGCCATTATAGACTGCTCTTATCGCTGCATGCGTAAAGCTTCCACTTCCTGCGCCAGCTTCAATGATATGGTCGCCCGGCCTTGCGCGCAGTCTTTGCAGGATGTAGCTGTAATCGGGCGTGTACACCACTTGGGTTCGGTGCGGTAGCGATATTGTCCAGGTCTCTGGCGTAGGCGGAATAAGATGCGCGAATCCACTACTTGCCGCCGCGGCCTTCACAATATCCCTCTTCTCGACCTCCTGCTCAGCGACAGGCTTGCCTTCGCCTTCATCCTTAGCGTCCCTCTTGCGCTTTTTGTTTTTGCCGCGGGATCCAGTATCGACCTTTGACGCAAGAATTTGCGTACCCCATGGCTGACCGACAAGTGTGCTGTGAGGAAAAGAGCCAAATCGCGTGTTCTCGACCCTGCCTTCAGGGTAGTCTGAATCGGCTTCTGGTGTCAAGACTGCAGGAATGAGATGGTCGCGGCGCAATTGGATGACACCGAGGTTGTTTGCTGTCGCACAAGTTCCTGGATCGAGGAACGGGGAGGGTGTAATGGCCATGGGCGCGGTTGGGCAAATTGCGACAGAAAAAAGATGTGGAGATGATGCGATCGCGACTCGGAGCTCCAGAACAAAAAGATATTCAGCGGGGAGCTTTCGAGATTGCCATTGGAGGGGAGCGCCAAGGCTTTTACGACAGGGATTCTTATTGCTCATCGAGACACCACCAACAGAACGTGACCAGAACTTCACTTACTGACTCACCGTAAGCCGCATCTGAACTAACACCTGGCCTTACTACAAGCACTACTTCCTGTCACTCCTTACAGTTCCGTTTACCGCCACATTGATGGTACTTGCTTTCCGGTCCTTGTCCCGCACCATCAAATCGCCTTCCCCACTTCTACTTTCGAAAACCAACTGCAGCCAAATATATCGAAGTCAGATATCGCCAAGGCTAGCAGCCAACATGGCAACACCGGCGCGCACCCAACCTCCATGGAAGCAACCCGAAGGCTCAAGTCCAGCCAAATTGAAAGTCTGGAACTCTTTGACCAGATCAAAGAATGACTTCGTACCCATCGATCCCGAAGGCAAGGAAGTGAAGTGGTATAGCTGCGGTCCTACAGTCTACGACGATGCGCACTTGGGGCATGCTCGAAACTACGTCACAAACGATATCCTACGGAGAATTCTTGCTCACTACTACGGCTACAAGCTGAAGTTCGTCCAGAACATCACTGACGTTGATGACAAGATCATTCTGCGCGGGCGCCAGCAATATCTCCTTGGAAAGTTCAAGGCCGACAACCCAACGGTGACGGAGGAAGTTATCAACACTACCATCAAAGCCTTCGACGCATATGTTAAGAAGAACCTACCCCTACTCAATCCGGACGTTACTATTGGCAGCTTCAACAGCGATTCTGCAGAGAAGTATGCCAACGTTATCCAAGGCAAGTCTGTCGATGGCGTTGGCCCGCCAGGCGATAAGGAGGCGAAGATCAAGATGCATCTCCGAACAGCTAGCACAGCAGTAACATCGTTACTTGCTCCATCGAAGACTACACCCGAAGATATTGAGATCTTCTATGTTGGCGCCGAGGATGTCCTACTACCATACCTCGACTCACTCTATGGCTCAACTATCGACGCCAGTGATCACTCGGTCTTCACAACACTCACCAAGAAGTACGAGGCACGCTTCAACGAGGATATGCGCGCACTCAATGTTTTAGACCCAGATGTTGTCACCCGCGTCACTGAGTACGGCGACGACATTGTTGCTTTCGTAGACAAGATCATCAAGAACGGTATGGCCTACAGCACATCGGATGGATCTGTCTACTTCGATATTGAGAGTTTCGAGAAGAGAAAGGGCAACCACTACGCACGCCTTGAACCATGGAACAGGGGTGACACGAACCTGCAAGCAGATGGCGAAGGTGCCCTGTCAACAGTCAAGACATCTGAAAAGCGCAACGACTCTGACTTTGCTCTATGGAAGTCTTCTAAACCGGGAGAGCCAGCGTGGAAGAGCCCATGGGGTCCTGGTCGACCAGGATGGCATATCGAGTGCTCCGTCATGGCTTCAGCCGTATTGGGCGAACAGATGGACATCCACAGCGGAGGTATCGATCTTTGCTTTCCCCATCACGACAATGAGCTTGCACAGTCAGAGGCCTACTGGCAAAAAGACGGTGGTTCCCAGTGGGTAAACTACTTCCTTCATATGGGTCATCTGTCTATTTCAGGATCCAAGATGTCTAAGAGCTTGAAGAACTTCACGACAATTCGAGAAGCCTTGAGCCGCGGCGACTGGAATGCCAGAAGTTTGCGTATCATCTTCCTCCTTGGAGGCTGGCATGACGGTATCGAGATCACACCAGATATGCGAAAGTCGGGTTCGTCTTGGGAGAGCTATGTGACAAACTTCTTCTACAAGATTCGGGATCTTGAGGTTCACCCAAACATCAGCTCAACAGGCGCGGAAGACGAGAAAGTTAAGAAGTCTTTTGAAGTTGCGAAAGAGAAGGTTCACAGGTAAGGCTCAAATCTCAGTGATCTCTACAGCTCCCACTAACACTCAATCTAGTGCGCTAGCCGACTCTTTCGACACGCCTACAGCTATGCGTGCCATATCTAGTCTTATCACAGACTACAATTCAGCCGACAAGGCTGGACTGTCCGATGACGTGTCCTTCGACGTCGCTCGCTACATCACTCGAATGGTCCGGGTATTCGGTCTGGACGGTTCAGCCGACCCATGGGACGGCGGTATCGGCTGGGCTGGCATTGATATTCCTGCTGCTGCCAAGGAGCACGTATACGCTGTCTCGCGAGAACGCGATCAGGTCCGGCAACATGCCATCGCTGGTGATCTTAATGAGAAGTTAGACTCCATCATCGAACAGCACACCCCCGCGAAGCAGCAAGACATCGAAGCACTCCCATACGCCGAAGTACTTTCAACCTTCCAAGAATCCCTACAAAACCTGGCGAAGAAGCAAGCGCCGGCAAAGGACTACCTCGACTTGTGCGACCAGCTGCGTGACACGCACCTTTGGGATCTTGGTATCTACCTTGAGGATCGCGAGAACGCCCCCGCCATGGTCCGCCCCGTTGATGCCGAACTGCAAGCAGCGCGTTCCCAGAAAGAGGAAATCGCTCGTCAAAAGGCCGAAGCAAAGCTCAAGCGCGAACGTGAAGAGGCGGAGAAAAAGGCTAAGCTTGCGGAACAAGCTAAGATCAACCCGAAGGATATGTTCAGGACGGAGGAGTACAGTGCGTGGGATGAGGATGGTATGCCAACCAAGGATAAAGATGGCGCTGATGTGGCGAAAGGAAGGGTGAAGAAGCTTAGGAAGGAGTGGGAGAAGCAGAAAAAGCTGTTTGAGGAGCATTTGAAGGCATAGAGTGGGGAAATCTGAAGCATGTTTAGAGAGGTGCACATCATCAGATTCCATCCCATTAGAGTCATATGTATCGCACTGCTACGCGGCGTATGTTCTGAAGACCAACATATGCTACTGTCTCGTTTCGATCGATATATCAAAATGCTCTGTGGATTGCTGACTATTTTCCCTCTTCTTTCCTCGCAGTCCTCCACCTCGTTTGTTGTCGGTTTCAAGGAAAGATCCAAAAGGGGTATCCATCAGGACGTAACCATTGTCTTCCGCAAAATGCTTGGAGTTTTATAATAGATATGCGAGGATGTTGACGTATGACTCTACTTGAAACGTGTTCATCTTTGTCCAATGAGGAGTATGAAGGCCTATTTAGGAGAAGGTAAAGATGGTAGTGCGGATGAAAACGTATCCATCAAAACCGGTGCGCTTTCGGGAGTTTGTGTCTAGCTTCATATCGCTGTTGGTGACGCAAATCGTCGCTGGTGCATCTTTCAAACAGCGAAGCCCTCTCTATACACACTTGTTCCTCTCACTCCGAATATTCAATACGCAGGTACTACTATCACTGTTACTACTGTGTCTGTTCAGCCTATATTGAACTCTCCATCTAAGTATGCAGATTGACTCATGATTTGATAGCCGGGTACGTATGATGTCGGATAAAGTTGCTTATCTAGTGGCAATATCGCAAGGAGAAGGTCAAGCGGTCAAACAAGGCGAACACAGGCCCAGTAGTACTGAGTAGATACTTAGATGCATGAAAAAACTTAGAATATCTTGCGAAAGAGTAGGCACCAGCACTTTGACGGTATGTAATACGAAGCTTACCAATAACATGATGTAGATTGTGGTGTTGTACGGCAACATTTTGTGAGAGCCGACGGGCGCTAGTTTAAAGATCGACAGCACGACTCCAAACATGGCCTAGCGTGTAGATTACCAATGCGGTGAGAACGCCGAATTTTGGGGAAGCGACCATGAGCTTTCCCCATCTTCCTAGGGGAAGCTTCGCAATTGGATGTCTGGCACACGTCGTGCAGATGGATTCATTACCCAGTCCAAAGGGAGTATCGGACCCCAACTAGCTTCCGCGGCCGGCGAGTGGGGATGATATGTGGAAAAGACGGTTGACCGTCGGATAAAACACCGAAGGATGGGTTTCTTTCGAATATCCACTCACCAGCCACATCACGTCTTGGGAGCTCTGCCTCTCGGTATTCCTCGCTATTTGCGCAGCTGCTAGTATCTGTTTCCACAATAACATGGATACCAATCGCGATATCGAGAAAGCAACAACATCGGAGTTCGGACAAGCGCACCCCGAACGCAACCATGACGCATCGTACGCATCAATAAAAGTACCCTCAAGAACGGCGTCGCGAAATGAAGAGGAGGAGATTGCAAGAATACCAACACACGTGTCTCACGCTTCTCGTACAAAGAAGTCGGTCGTTGGGCTTGCAAAGACCATTACCGCTCGTTCGAATGCGTCCGTCATCGATCCTGGACCACCGCCCGATGGAGGGACCAAAGCTTGGATACAGGCATTCATGGGTCACTTCGTGATATTCAATACATGGGGCATGATTGCCACGTTCGGAGTCTTTCAACAACACTACACGCTCGATCTAGGCCTTGAGCCATCAGCCGTATCCTGGATCGGAAGCTTCCAAATGCTGGGACATTTCTCGCTAGGCATGTTGACAGGTCGGTTGTTTGACGCAGGATACTTCTACTGGTCTGTCATACCTGGCATGCTCGTCTCATGTCTAGGAATGTTCATGACCAGTCTATGCACAAAGTACTGGCAATTCTTCCTTGCGCAGGGTGTCATGAATGGACTGGGGAACGGTATGCAGTTTGCTCCCGTCCTGGGACTCGTCAGCACATACTTTGCGAAGAACCGGAGTGTGGCGCTGGCAATCATGGCTTCAGGTAGCGCAACCGGTGGGTTGGTATATCCGACCATCGCGCGACAGCTTCTTCCTAGAATCGGCTTTCCCTGGACAGTCAGGGTCATGGGGTTCATGATGTTGGCCATAGGGACATGTTACTGCTCGCTGCTGAAACCAAGACTACCTCCGAGGAAGTCTGGTCCGGTTCTTGAACTTAGTGCTTTCGGAGAGCTGCCATACAGCGTGTTCCTGATTGGAGTCTTCCTCATTGCTCTCGGACAGTACTTCGCCTTCTATTACATCTCCTCCTTCGCAGTCGATATTCTCGACTTACCATACGGTACCTCAATCAATGTTCTCTTGGTGCTCAACGGTGTGGGTGTCCTTGGTCGTCTCGTGCCCTCATACTTCGCCGACAAATATACTGGGCCATACAATATTCTCATACCCTTTTGTTTCGTTTCCGCTTTTGTCCTATACTTCTGGCCTCTGGTCAAGAGTGAGGCTAGCCTTTACGCTTGGGCTGTGTGCTATGGTTTCTTCGTTGCGGGCTTCCAGGGTATCTTCCCAGCTGCGATGACTACACTGACAAAGGACATGAGCAAAGTGGGCACGAGAAATGGTCAAGGCCTCGCGATCGTCGGACTGGGCACTTTCATTGGGCCGCCAATCGCTGGCGCGCTGATACAAAGTAATGGAGGAGGCTATCTAAGTGCGCAGGTGTTCGCTGGGACTGCAGTGTTACTGGGGAGCTGTATTTTGGTAGTGGGACGGTGGAGTATCACGGGACCGAATCTAAAGGTACGAGTATAGAATAGCATACTAGGGGATAGCAGCTACATCAACAGGTTTTCAACCGATATGGTTGCCTTCTTACATTCCACGTTTCATCGATCGAAGCCTAGTAGTAGCAACACCTCTCGCTCCCTTCTTGCCCCCACCGATTGGTATGTACGTGCCATTCAACCCACAGCCCGGATGCTCGCATGTTGAGATAGTATGCACATATCTGATTTTGCCCTTCTCAACGCGGAAAGTATGGCTATCCGGCGCCGGCGTCTCGCTCGCCCTGTCCAATCCTGGAAAGCCCAGATAGATGTTGACACTACCCATCTCTACATCAACCACATACCGTCGATCCTGAACATACACATTGCTCGGCAGACCCAGATGACATGTTTCTCCATTTGTCATATTAGTGTCGGTGTACGCACCTCCCTCGAGCCTGGCACACGGCGTGCCAAAGGGAACAGTGATGTTGACGTTGCCAAAGCGGTTGAAATACGCATCACCAGCTGCTTTGATGACATCGCGGGTATCCCGGTCTGCGAGCGGGATAGGCGTCCAGCTTTCTTTGCTGCTCCAGTAGGCTGTACTTGTAGCATTAAACAGCCAATCCCCCTCATCGCTAACCAGAGTCTCCATCTTCGTTACGTACTTCCCATTCCCCTCGATGCGCACGCCAAGAACATATGGATGGCTCGGCTCCGGTACAATGATCTCGGTGAAGGCGCTGCAAAGATACGGATCTAGAAAGACGCGCGAATTGGTGCTGTTAAGCGGTTTGTTTAAGATGGATGTTGGGGCTGAGAGATTGGCGGGAGTAAAATTTTCGGAGTAGGTATAGTTTTGTAGCATATAGTTGGTGAGGAGGGATGAATTGCCGACAGTCTGCGCGTTCAGATAAAGTGATGTGAAGGCAGCGAGAAATTCGCGTTCGCATGCACTCATGGCAAGAGGGAATAGCAATGATGCGCTGAGAAGGATTGAAGAGCGCATGGTGTGAGGTGTCTCTGGCAGTGAAGCAAGAGTGTAGAAATGGTTATGTGAGGGGTGTTGTTAATGTCATCCCTTTGAACTTTATGAACTTACAGTCTTTTCGAAAGGTTGAACTGCCGTTGAAAATAGTATGCAATACCAATCACAGCGTGCGTTCATCGCGGACGAACCTGCATAGGCTTTAATATGCGGATAGAGTGTGGGGCTAGCCGGCATCATGAACACCTAAGTGCATACAGCCTCTGCACCCGGCGGTAATTTACAATACATCTCAGGCAACTCTCTGGAAACATCGTGAGCTCTATGTGAGTGGTCCGGTGCTCACCTAGGCGTAAAGATACCGGGAGATGATGCATCACTGAATGCCGACAGATATGTTTACAAATAATTATACACGTTAATTCCACTAATCAGAGTACCTCATCGTGCTATACATGCTAAAGCAGAACTTGCGGATCGCACAGTTTTTATCATGCGGCATATCCAAGGCCTTTTACTGTGGGCTCATCCATATATGCGACCCCGAACAAAGGAGAAATCAAGAACAGAAGGCAAATCGCAAGCAAACCTTTCATGATGTGGTAAGACTCGAGCCTGGAGATATAATGCTCTAGACGAAACCAGGCTGAAATGTCTCTGGAACGCCTCACTCTCGAACTGAGCTACGACTGCAAGCACGTGAGGTATATTCGGCAGGCATGGGCTTTTCAATAACCGGCTCCTTGTCTTCGTCTTTGCCGTGCATGTCTTTGGCCAGATCGAAAGCGTCTTGCAGGCCGACCTTATCACTGAGACTCTTCTCCTGAATCCACTTCCACACCTTCTTCATCCCAGCACTGTCTTCGATGATGGACTTCTCGAGACCAGAGACGTTGCTGCTGTCGACGGGAATATGAACCCTCTCATCACCCGATTCGATGGTGGCCCAGTAGGTAACGGTATAGGCAGTAGGAACGGGGGGTTTAGGCTTTGGAGTGTCGGTGGGTGTAGCAACGGAACCCCATGCAGGATGGTCGCCACCAAATGCGGCTCGGTCTGCCTCACATTCGTGGCCGAAATCATCGCAGTACTCCATACCACACTTCTGACAGTAATGATGATCAACTGGGCTCTCGTTTCCCGCGCAGCAAGTACCCCATACTCCAAGCTCGGGTGTGGCTGTGCGGACGGAGGTTGCCTTGACTGTTTCCTTCTGATGTTGTTCTTTGACCTTGCGCTCCTTTGGTTCGCTGGAACTTGATTTCGCTGGCTTAAGGGCCTTGAAGCGGACCCTACACTGTGGAACTGTCAGGCCCAGTGCGTCGGCGATGGCAACCCAATCAATCTTTGCGTCTTCATTCTTCCATTTCATGAGCTCTTCGTCCATCACCTTAGTCCGCGGAACAGGACACAGCTTCCAGCAATCGTTGTCGTTTTGGTGCTGGAAAACGGTGTCGTAAGCCTGTTGAAGCTGCTGTCGTTCTTCGGGGATGCCTTCCACCCAGGGAAGATAATGTTCGAACATCTTCTGTAAAAGGTCAAAGTCAACAGAGTTGTAGGCTTCCAGACCAAGGAACGCAAATGCCTCCCTCACGTTCATAAGTGACGGAGTAGGCTGGCTTTCATCTCCCTCGATGCCAACTTCTTTCTCCGACGAAACACCCCATGGCTTTCCTTGATTATCGACGTTCTCCGTATAAAACCGAGCCGCTGTTCTGAATTCAGCGTTCTCAAGCGGGGCGAGCCAAGCCCTCAGCATCTGTCGAAGATGTTCAGAACCCATGGCGTTACGGTACACGGAGACAGCCGCAACCAAATTCGCGCCACACATGCGGAGAATCTCAAATGCTTCTTCGCGGGTGAAGCTGTTGTTGGCGACCTCCAGAAACTCATCGACCATAGAATCATCCGGTGCGGTAGGATTGTGGGGAGATGCAAAGCTAGTGGCCGTCTTGACATCGGATGCTTTCGCAGGATGGCCTGACTTAGCGATAACGGGAACGATCTTAGGGTCGGATTTGCTGAGATTGTCATGAACCATACCAAGGCGTTCTTGATTACGATACAGTTTAGTAGCAGCCGGCTTCTTGTTATCGGTTGCGTTATCAGCTGGTGATGCAGCGGCGACATACTTGTAGGGCGGTAGCATGTCCTGATCACGCAGCTGGCGGTGAACCTCGTCGAAACTCTTGAGCTTAGGAGAAACTCGCTGTTCTGCCTCTCGATCTTTCGCCTCTTCCACAGCGTAAGCATTGAACAAATGCCAGTAAGAGTCTCGTTCCTCCATTCGGAGAGGAGAGCGGACTGTATTTGCAGTATTTGACTTCGTGTCTGCAGTATTGGCTTTCACAGTGCTCCACTTCTTCTCAAATCCCTCTGCGCCCTGACCGCGATCCTGTTCAGTAGAGGGGGCGATGTGGTCTCCCACCAGGAGAGGGACAACATCATCTGTGTAGGGTGAAGACTGAGTCTCGGAGTTACGAAGGCGAGGCACATGGGACTCCGAGTGTTGACCGTACATGTCTCCTACGTCCTGGTTGAGTTTCTTAGCTGGGGAGCGGATATTGCCCAGTTCCGAGGCAATACTGACGAAAGATCCACCAATGCTTCCGGTGGGCGCGCAAGACCTCATGATCCTGCGAGTTTTGTCGCTGGCTTCTGGAGATCCGTCATAGTGTTCACCGTGGTCCTGTTGGTCGTGATCGAACCACTCTTGAAGAAAGTCACCCACGAGGCCGTGACTCCGGGCAGATTCGTGGTCGCCCTTGTGCACAGATTCCATGTACTCATTATTGAGGAGACCGAGGAGCTCATTGAGTTGAACATAGGCTGGGTCATCGTGAGTGAATGCTTCCAAGGATGTAATGCACAGGTTGATCGCTTCAACGATCTGGCCGACAGTGCGACGACCGATCTTTGAGGGCAATGAGTGCTCATCGGAGCTCGGTGGCGTAAGTGCAGCTTCACTAGAATGATCTTCACCGTCACTCTCGCTATACGAGCTCGAAGCCCATGGAGCGACCGAGTCTGGACGTCCGAGTTGGTGGAATCGAGACATCGTTGCTAGTTTGAACTGTTGTAGATGTGTTGTTGTTGTATGTTGTCTGAGAATGGGGAACCGATGGATTTGTGGAGGATTGCGGTGGAGAGAGTAGGTCGAGTCCGCAGCTAGATGGTTTATATGTCCTTGACGCACCAGAGCTTGGACGCGTATTCTGGTGAGAGCAGGTAAAGTCAGTCTAACTGAAGATAAGGGGTGAAAGACGGGAGAGTTGAGGTTCCGTATAAGTCAGTATTATGACGTATCCAGCGAAGCAAACGCGTCGGTAAAGTGAGAGAGACATGTCAATTGTCCACGCGGAGCATAGGAAAGCTGGAAAAAGGTCACTGGACGGCTAATGTCGACCAAGACAGCTTGCACCTGACAAGATAATGTATTGTATGATCACTGGAGCAGCGGTCTCCTCTCAGCATCCCTTGTGTTCCACCAGAAGAACCCCCTCTTTCTTGTCCATTCATCTACCTCCTCAATCTCGAACTCTTTCGGTTTGCCGCTCACTCGCCGCCACCACATCCCCCATCCTTCACTCTTTCTCACCCAAATATCTTCACTACCGTCCTCAAATATCACATGACCGCCTCTGCTTCCCCTAGTACCTAGCCCAGCCAACTTGATACATTTTACGAGACCGTATAGCACCAAGACACCAAGTAGAGTAGAGAAAATCGTCACTATGGACGTCAAGAATGTAATTGTGGATACTTGACAGCCTAATCCAGAAGTGCGGAGCTCGAAACGCTCGGAGCGTAGAGCACATATCGAGTCGTAGCGGATGGGTGTGAGGAGAGGGAACGCTTTTGACAGGGAATCCGTGGGCAGCGGAAGGCATGTTGACGACTGTTGCCAGAGTTCAGTAATGTCTCGCAACATTCTAGACATGTAAAGTTCTCTACAGAGTGAACCATAGGATATGGAAGTATTATTCGACGTCATGAATGAGATCGGTTCTGCTCACAGCCTGCTACGACTTCATGGCTAAAAGGAAGATGAACAAAATGCGTACGTACAATCGCACACCAGCCACAATGACCTTCACTCCGGTGACAATCACCGCAATCGTCATAGCCCCAACACTTCAATAATCGATCCCAGTCTTCTTTGGGGCTACTTTGAAGTCGTCCATGGATCAATTCCGTCACGTTTGTCGACGCGTCATCGCGCTTGGCAGAGGTGGCTGGGCAGTTCGACGACATTGCGCATGTACAAGTTTTCACAAGATATATACAGACCAAGCTACACAAATTTGTTCAACGACAGCGAAAAGATCAAAATGCGCAGAAAGGTGTTGAGTTGAGATGGAACGGCGATAGCGAAAGATCAACTGAAGTGGGGCAAGATAAGACGTGCGCTATGCCACATCGGCCACTATAAGTGCTACACGTGTTAATTGGCCGTTTCACAGAGCAGGTATTCAGTAGCGGAAGATGCAGGAAGAGCGAGTGATATACACTGAAGCTAAAGTATGTACAAAGAATATGCCCCAGATGCAATGTGTCCCAAAACGAGGCTAGGAAATAGTTTCGCGTCCCTTAATTGGGAATGCACTGAGAGAAGTAGTCGTTGTTGACCGCGCACTTGTATCCACTGACACAAGATGTTGGACCTGTGTAGCCCTTACCGCCACATCTGATGAGATGTTAGTAAACGTTTTGTAGATGGTAGTGTTCCAAGTACTTACTGTTCCCAGGCGTTAGCCACCTTGGTGGGAGTAGGCGCTGGTGCTGTGGATGTCTTGATAGTAGTTGGCTTCGCCGTTGATGACGGCTTCACAGATACAGTTGACGACTTAATTGGCGCCTTCGAGGAGGTGGGCTTAGCGGAGGCTGCAGATGACTGCATGGACGACGAAGGCTTACCACCTCCACTGCTTGCACCAAGTGCAAGAATCTTAGCAGCGGCATGTTCTGCAAGGACGACGATGTAGGATGTAGGGTTGGTGAAGATGTGGCTGTGCTATGTTAGTTTGAAGATGGTTGAAAATTGGTAGGATAGAGCTTACCCGGGGAACAGAGAAGCATCAACTACGTGGATGTTCTGAGTTCCGTACACCTGGGTGTTCAAGTCTACGACAGAGGTTCCACCGGTGAGACCGCTATCGGTTCCGATCTTCGCGGTACCAATCCAGTGATTGGCGCGACGGGCAGCTGGGGTTTTGGGAAGGCTGGCAACGTATGCCTCGACCGTCATGTTCTCAGGAGGTACTTGAAACTCGATTGCCGGGTTCTTTTTGATGGCCTTCATCATGCTCTTGATACCTGCAACAACCACACCGGTGTCGGCTTCGTTCTGAAGGTAGGGTGCTTTGCTGACATAGACGTTGAGAGCACCGTTGATTGAAAGCGTACCACGCGAAGTAGAGCCATGGCCAAGGTACTGGCTGATGGTGAGGTGGTGAGTGTCGTTGGCGCCGGGACCTTCAACGCGAGCAGTCCACTGGATCGATCGGTCAATACCATCACTTCCAGTGATGACTTCCCAAGCAAGAGGGCCGATGTTGGGAGCAGACTGAGCAAGAATACCAGAGCGCTTGCCAAGGTACAGGTCCTTGTCAGCCTCGATAGGGGCATCCCACGCCTTGTAAAAGTCGTAGAAAGAGATATTGGGGTGCTTGATGACAAGGTCGGTGTTGACGTGGTCGTTCAGGTTTTGGCCGACGGGGAGGTTGATCCAGTCAGACTCTCCGATCATCGTCGAGCCATCGAGGGCGCTGTTCTTCACAACGTTCAACTGATCCTTTGGTCCAATGCCACTGCGGAAGAGAACCTTTGAGGATCCGAAAGCTCCACCAGAAACAATGACACGACCTCCAGGGTTGAGGTTCACGGTACCGCAGTAACCAGTACCACCGACACCGCTCTCCAGCTCAACACCGGTAGCTGCTCCGCCAGAGCGAACGATTCGTCGAGCCATGGTGTTTGTCCAGAGCTTAAAGTTCTTCCTCGCCAGCGCAGAGACCATGTAGGTACCGAGAGGTCCCTGCCTCTGACCGTTGTCGTACATAAACGGAGAGTGAGAGTATGTGCGGTTCTTCTGGTTCTGTTGGTTGTTTGCAACGACGCTCTTCCAGCCGTCTGCACCAAGCGCACCAGACAGGACATCAAAACCTTCCTGCTTGTAACGCTTGCCGTCGACGGAAGGAGTGTCGGTACCAGGGATGCGCTTGAACACACGGTCGATCGCGCCCTTCACATCAGCTGACTTCCAGCCGGTGGGGAATTGGTAGTCGAAATCGATGTCGACCGGCTTCCACCAAAGCGCAGCGTTGACAGCAGAACCTCCGCCAAGAACACAGCCAGCCATTTGGTCAATATCAGTGCAAGCAACACCTGCGGAGTCAACCCAGATCTGGTTGCAGAGACCGGGAATGTCGAAACGGGTCAGGTTGTTGCTAGTAGCCCAATCAGGACCCATCTTTCCGCCAAAACGAGCGAGAGATGGCGGTCCCTTCTCGAGCATGAGGACGCTCTTGCCAGACTCAGAGAGTTTGTCCGCTACGGGGATACCTCCAGCACCACCACCGATGACGATGTAGTCGAATGAGCCTGAAGGAGCAGGAGATCCGACGCACTTGACTGGTGCAGTTGGAGTGGGGGTGGCTGATGGCTGGCCCGATAGGGTGGGCGTGGGTGCACCAGAAGGCTGGCCACCTACCAGCTTGACATAATCAGAGTATTTCGCATTCCTTGCATCCGCCGTGGGAGCACCGAACTGAGACTGTCCCTTGTTGTGGAAGACCCATGTGCCGTCGTAGATCTTGTCGTGCTGGGCCCAACCGATGACATTGACTTCGGTAGTGGGAAGTTGAGAGCCTTCAGCGCCGCCTTGGTTCCAGACCCAGCAGTGCTCGCATCGGTACACAATCTCGAAGTGTGTGTCGGTGACCGAGTGGAAGATCTGGCTCAAAGTCGCGTTGCCGGTGTAGTCTTCAGGAGCAACATAACCACCTGCCCAGACGAACTTGGTCTTGACGGCATCAGTCTCCGGCCATGCAACGAGCAGAAGAGAGTTGGGCATGCCGCCAGCGTGACTGACACCAGACCATCCCTGCCTGTTCGCTTCAAGTGACCCCTTGATGTAACCGATGTACTCGTCGTTGGCGCCTGTGGGCTCTCCGGGCAATACCCAACCCCATTCAAAACCACCTGCTGTCTGGGAGTCACTGACTACCTGGCGCCAGAACTCAATCCCGGTGCCTTCATGGGTGAACTTCTCCTGCGCAAGAGCGACAGGAGCGAAAAGAGAGGATAGCAGCGAAGCCGCTCGAACGAAAGAAGTAGTCTTCATCTTGGAGACTTGTTACCAGCACGTCGAAGATGAGAGAGCTTGACAAGGGCAAGTGAAAGCTGTGCCTTCTATAGCTATGCCAGGGTGTGGACGCGTTATATACATCTCGACTTTATCCTAGACTGCTTCGCAAAAGCCGTCGCGTATGGGGTTGAGACCAATAGCCAAGCCACTACCTGGGGAACTTCCTTCTGGAGGCGGCAGAACTACGCCTTCAACCAGGTACGGGAGACGCGCGCTGGCCAGGGTGAGCCTAACTGAGGGCGTGATTACCGTGGGCAGCATCGTCATTGGTTGTTTCGAAACTAAGGTGATCTGGCCGAGATTCAAGGTTAGTCGTTAATATGTACAAACTACAGGCGGCATGGGTGGATTGATTGATGTAGATTGATAGAAGCCGGGATTGCGACTTGCTCGCCGTCAGCCATGCGCCCCTTACCCGTTCGGGGTCCAGCTTTCCCCACAAACGTCTAGTGGCGGATGTGACAAACCATCACTTTCGCGCTTCCGCCTTGCATCAGCCTCTTCGAATACAACGTCTGCACCACCAGAGTCTTCGGGAATATTAACAAGTCAGTGCCTCTGATCTCGTGCAACCGCCACAGCCTTCTCGGTACCGGCTTCTTTGCGCATGTTCCGTGAGGCTGCCCCAAAATGAAGGACGGCTTCCAAGCCTCCTTCGCAGAACGACAAGATGCGCACGTTTCATTAATTGAAACACTCGACCAGACCAGTAACACACAATCTATTATATTAGCCTTTTCTTCTTTCGCTTCACAGATCCCAAGACTATCTGCCATGATGTCGCGGCATACCTCGGTCGTATCCTTCCTCCTGTAATTAACACTGCGGTTCTTCCATCCAACCGCCGGCTCAAGTTACACAGTCGATCCGTGACTACGTTGGCGCCCGTTACCTATTTGGTAACTGCCGAGGATTCTATGCATTGAAAATCCGTAAAGCACGTGTCCTATGCACACTTTTCCATAACTGCATTGCAGCGGGCAAAGTATATTGAGAAATAAAGGACTCCTGGTCACACGCCTCCATCGCCAGTCGCACACGTGCCGAAGCCGAGTCCCCAACCAACTTTGGACAATGGCTCCGTGTTCCATTTGGACAACTCAGAAAACAGTACACCATGATACCATATAGGAAGATTCGCCGTCGTAGTTGTGAACAGCATTATGATCTTGGGTAACGATTTACACTATGAAGGTCTCTGTGGTCACTTGTTTCTTGTCAGCTAGCGCATCGGCGCATACGATCTTCACTCAATTGCACGTCAACGGCGTGGGGCAAGGACATACCAAAGGAATCCGGGTGCCGGTGAGCATGCTCGTAACAACTTTCCTACTAATCGCCTCCTAACAGCACGACACACAGACCTACGACGGGTAATGTGCCCCACAATCATGTTCTGAATCGCAACTCATTCGGTTTTCAGACCAATTCAAGACGTAACGTCTAACGATGTCATATGTAATGGCGGGTAAATCATAACAAAGCGCAAGGTCAAGCGCTATATTGACCCACATACAGCATAAACCCCTACAGAACGCCTCTTCCCAAAGACATTATCAATGTATGTCGGTTTCGCAATAAGCAAGCTACGCCACATGGCTTCGGCTTACAACATGCTAGGTCAAAGCCGGAGACAAGCTCACTGCCGAGTGGCACCACACGCTTGATTCTAAACCTGAGACGGATAAGTCAGATCCCATCGACCCCGGTCATCTAGGCCCCATTATGGTTTATCTCGCCAAAGTCGATGATGCTTTGTCTACCACGGTGACGGGACTCAAGTGGTTCAAGATCTACGAGGATGGTATGGATGCCAATGGCGAGTGGGCAGTTACGAGGCTTTACAACAACAAGGGTCTAGTAGACTTTGTACTTCCGTCTTGCATTCCGAGTGGACAGTAAGTCGCACCTTTCTCTTCAAATCTCTTCTGCCAAAAGTTGTCATGAAGTTCTGGCTGACACAGTCCTTCTCAGATATCTCCTCCGCGCCGAACTTATCGCTCTCCATGCTGCGAGTAATTACCCGGGTGCTCAACTCTACATGGAATGTGCCCAGATAAACGTAACAGGAGGTGGTACTGCCAGTCCGGCTACAGTCAGCTTCCCGGGTGCATACAAAGCGACTGATCCAGGCATCAAGTTTCAGCTCTACTGGCCGAAACCAACAAGCTATACCATCCCAGGACCGAGGCCGTTCACCTGCTCTGCGAAGATTAGGTAAAAAAGTGAGATTATCAGTTATATGGTGTCTCGCTTCACGCATGAATCGGTATTTCAGGACGCTGTTGTAATTTCGATGGATAGATGAGATGTAAATGCATATGACAATAGTTTGAACCCATCCAAGACTCAAGAACAACATCTGCATCGATCCGAAAAACATATCAATACCCAAATGAAGCATTCGTGTATGCACCCCACAAGCGTCCGAGATGAATCTCACGTGCGTCATGCGTGATCGTTGTTTCCAAGTCTGGTACCTGCATCAGCAGCTCCGCCCAGCTTCCCCACCAACAATCGCAGCTCCACATCCATACACCCCAAACCCCGACGACATCAGCATACCCCGCAGATTCACGACCCATCGCACTTGCAATAGCCAAATATACGCCCTATACAATTGAGTGCTGCTACTTCGGCAAATTTTGGCCAGATTCCACACACGCGTACAGTCCTATTGGATATGCATGACGAACGTGAGTTGTTCTCCAGACCTTCCCACGACGATGCACATCCGCTGCGATACGATGCACGTGTGTAGCCAGAACAGGCGCGCAGGCACGCGATTCCAAACCTGATTTGTGGCTGCGAAAATTGTCGGGTGAGGCTACGAGACCTTGACATCGTCTCGTGAAGTCTGGCCGGCACGGCGCATCGCATACCATCTTCCTACATCCCCTCTACAGCAACCACCACAACGTCTCAGAAACCCCTATGCTAACGTTTCCAAATCCACAGACCCACATCCTCTCCTCGCCCAAGTTCCCTTGACACTCTCCCCCTTCCTCTCCCTCCCTACCTCGGTCCCCTTGCCATACTCCTACGTAACCCTACCTTCGACGCTTCCTCCCTCGATCCTCTCCCAACAGCAACAAGACGGGTCCAACACGTCGAAGCCCGCATACGTCATGTCTTCATCCGGCACGTCAGCGCATCCAGACCAAATTCTCACATCATGTGTCGCACTACAAGAACATTTGTCTAAGCTAGAGGCCGACGCAAGGAAGACATTGGCGCAGTGGGAGGAACGGAGGCAGAAAGAGGATCTCGCCGAGAAGAGGAGAGTTGCGCCGGGCTGGTTAGATAGTGGTGTACATATACTGAAGCCAGAGGAGAGTGATGGAGGAGCGAAGAAGGAAGACAAAGCGCCGGTGCAGAATCTCATGGATCTAGATCCGCAAGCGGAGAGTAAGGCCAAAGAAGGCGAGGAATTGGATAGGGTGTTTGGTGGACTTCAAGTTTAGCTACTCAAACATCACATATACCCATGAGCAAGATTTAGTGACCAGCGGTCTTCATAATAGATTAATACCAAGTTATAGAACTATAAGCTGTGACATGCTGTTTAGCCCAAGCCCAGATACGCGTCGCCTACAGTGTCCCCATAGCGGCGCGACATTACAGACATATGAGAACCGAAGATACGGAAACAGAAGGGGAATCTTGAAGGAAGAATGTGGAGAATTAGTGCGACCATGCTGAATCACTGCACCATCTCTGTTCGTGCAACACCACCAACGCCAAAGGGTGCGTCTAGCGACGACCGTGAGAGCGGTTGATGCTGCCCTGGAGGTTGTCCACCTCGCCCTCAAGACGCTTGATCTCTGCGTGACTAGCCTCGAGGTCCTTGTTGAGGCGATCGCGCTCAGCAATGAGCTTCTGCTCCCACTGCCTGAAGCGCTGCTCCTCAACCTTGACCTGTTCGGTGAAACGCTTGCGGAGCGCCTCTTCCTCCTCCTTGAACTTGGGGTTGTCCAGCTTCCTTGGGCGCGCCTCGCCAAACTTCCTTGTCTCCATCTGGCCGGCGCGGTAGGCCTCGTAGTGGTTCTCCTCGGTGGTGTGAATGAGGTCAAGCATGTGGGTTCGGATGAGGATGGCGCGGAGCTTCTTGAAGTCGCAGTGCTCCTCGTTCTCGACTTCGGCAACACCCCAAGCGTATTGGCGGCCCTTGACGGTACGGCCATCGTTGGTCTGAACGTCCTTCTCAGAACCGATAACGGAGAAAGGCATGGCGTCGATGAGGCCGCGTGCGTGCTGCATGGCGGCAGCGTCGTCGTCCTCGAGCGGGGGAGTGTAGATCTTGATGCCCTGAGCATCGATCACTTGGCGCACCTGATAGCGGTCAGTATCTGCTCATGCTATCCAGGCGGAGCATCTTACCCTCGCCTTGAACCTGGCCAGGTCTGTTGGGCTCAATGTGTCGGCCTTGGCTACAACCGGGATCAGGTTGACGCGTGTGCATAGCTTCTTCATGACCTCAATGTCAAGGGGCTTCAAGGTGTGGCCGGTGGGGCGGATGAAGTACAAGCAGGCGTGAACACGGAGATCGATCTTATCAGAGCGGCGCGGTTGTTGCTCCTGCAGCATGTACGACTCGTGCTGGTCGTCGAGGAACTCAATGATGGGTTGCCACGAGTCGCGGTTGTTGACGTAGTCACCGAAACCAGGAGTGTCGATAACAGTAAGGCGGACTGGGCGGTGTTAGTTGAAGGAGACGGGCAGTCCAATGGTGCTCTGCCTACCCTTGAAGAACTTCTCCTCGAGCTCGGCCTTGGTGATCTCAATCTCGACAGTCTTGTCCATCTGCTTGTGGTGTCGTCGCTTGTGGTCGGCATAGTTCTTGATGGTGGTGGAGAAGAGGGTGTTGATGAAGGTAGTCTTTCCGAGACCTGATTCGCCAGCAACCTGCGAAAGTTAGACTGATGGTGAACTCTGATAAGGACGATGTTCGTACCATTATGGTGAAGGCAGCACCGCGCTTTGCAACAATCTTGTGCCTGTGCTATGTTAGGACCCGATGCTTGCGTGTCCGCTCTGTTGATAGTACCTCTGGTTTGGCAGCTGCGATGCATGTTAGTATATGAATTGAAGGCATAGCTGTGGCAGAGGGGACACGTACGTTGGCAATGCCAATGGGGGACGCGGACTCGGCCATGGCGTTGATGTGTGGTTGACCGCTGGTGTATATGGGGTCTGGGGAGCAGTGTTAGCTATGGCAAGTCTCGTAGGAGATGGCATGCAGCGTGCAAACGTACGTAAAGGTTGCGGACGAGAGGCAGTCCAGTAGTGAGGTTACTGAAAGGCGTGTGGTACAGGGTCTGGTGAGGAGACGTGGTAGTGTAGACAATTTGGGTCCCCTTTCTCAGAGTCGCCCATTCGGCAAGCACTGACCCTGAACGGGGTACCGCGACTAATGTAGCCTACCCAACTAGCGCGTCTAAGCATGATCCGAGCTTCGAAAAAGTTCAAGATGCGACCACGCCCGCCACGACATGACGAGACTGCAGCCAAGACATATTGAAGATGAAGACTGACTTTCAGGCAAGTCCAATCCTGCCATGGACGTGTTTGCGGCTGACTTTTGTAGTTCTCCAACCTGCTGGGTACCGTCTACAGCAGAGGCAACCTTCTCTTCACTCCAGATGGCACATGTCTACTATCACCGGTTGGTAACCGGGTCACTGTCTTCGACCTTGTAAAGTGAGTATTAACTCGCGACTTCCACATTAATGGACGTGCGCTAATTCTGCCCAGTTCCAAATCACACACACTTCCATTTGCGCACCGGAAGAACATCGCACGCCTTGCCCTCAACCCTCGCGGAAATCTCCTCCTCTCAGTCGACGAAGACGGTCGCGCAGTCCTTACCAATGTCCCTCGTCGCATCGTCCTCTACCATTTCTCTCTCCGCGGCGAAGTCACCTCGATTGCTTTCTCTCCCTCGGGTCGGCATTTTGCAGTAGGTATAGGACGGCAGATCGAAGTATGGCACACCCCGTCTACTCCAGATGTCGCAGAGGGCGATTTAGAGTTTGCGCCGTTTGTGCGACACCGGATATATACGGGACACTACAACAATGTGCAAAGCATAGAGTGGTCGAGCGACTCGAGGTTTTTCCTTAGCGCGTCCAAAGATATGACGGCACGCATCTGGAGCGTAGATCAAGAAGAAGGGCATGCGCAGACCACGCTGGGTGGACACAGGCAGGAAGTAGTCGGCGCCTGGTTCTCTAAGGATCAAGAGACCATCTACACAGTCAGCAAGGACGGTGCACTGTTTGTATGGAAATACATGCTACGGTACGATGCGCCAGCCGACGCCGATGAGAACGACGACGAGAATCTACAGTGGGGCATCGCGGAGCGCCACTTCTTCCACCAGAACAACGCACATGTCACATGCGCCAGCTTCCATCCTGAGTCGAAACTACTCGTTACAGGCTTCTCCCACGGTGCCTTTTTCATTCACGAGCTGCCAGAGTTTGCTCAAATCTCCAGCCTCAGCATTTCTCAAAACGATATTGACTATGTCGCAATCAACAAGACCGGAGAATGGCTCGCCTTTGGCGCATCGAAGCTCGGGCAGCTGCTGGTCTGGGAGTGGCAATCGGAATCGTACATTCTGAAGCAGCAGGGGCACTTCGACTCAATGAACACCATCGCATACTCGCCAGACGGCCAGCGCATAATAACGGCGGCTGACGATGGAAAGATCAAGGTGTGGGAAGTCAATTCTGGTTTCTGTGTCGTCACATTCACCGAACACATGGGTGGTGTAACGGCCTGCGAATTTGCGAAGAAGGGAAATGTCCTGTTCACAGCCAGTCTGGATGGTTCTGTCAGGGCGTGGGATCTCCACCGGTATCGCAACTTCCGCACATTCACGGCACCTTCGAGACTTTCGTTTTCATCATTGGCCGTTGACCCGAGCGGTGAGGTCGTATGCGCAGGTTCTATCGATTCTTTCGACATTCACATCTGGTCTGTCCAGACTGGCCAGCTGCTTGATAGGCTGTCTGGCCACGAGGGCCCTGTATCGTCCTTGTCATTCTCCCCTGATGCAGGCACGCTGGTGAGTGGAAGTTGGGACAGGACCGTCCGCGTCTGGAACATCTTTGCTCGCACGCAAACAAGTGAGCCGCTGCAACTCATGGCCGACATTCTATCTGTGGCTTTCCGTCCCGACTCAAAGCAAATAGCCGTAACAACACTTGACGGGCAGCTTACATTCTGGAATGTCTCCGATGCTGCACAAGAAAACGGCGTCGATGCGCGGCGAGATGTTTCCGGTGGTCGTAAGATGTCAGATCGAAGAACGGCGGCCAACGTCGCAGGTACCAAAGCCTTTACATCGGTCAAGTACAGCGCAGACGGGACATGTGTACTGGCCGGTGGGAACAGCAAGTACATTTGCTTGTATGATGTTCAGTCGGGTGTGTTACTCAAGAAGTTCACTGTATCCGTGAACCTATCTCTCGATGGCACGCAAGAGTTTCTCAACAGCAAGCTGCTCACAGATGCTGGACCACAAGGTCTTATTGACGAGCAAGGCGAGGCGTCAGATCTGGAAGATCGTCGAGACACAACCTTACCTGGGGCGCAAAAAGGCATTGGCGCACGGAGAACACGACCCGAAGTACGAGTACCTGCTGTCGCATTTTCACCCACCGGGCGAGCGTTCTGTGCTGCATCGACAGAAGGTTTATTAATCTACTCACTCGACAACACATTCCAGTTCGATCCATTCGACCTAGACATCACCGTTACCCCAGCTACAACTCTCGAAACTCTCGCACAGAAGGACTATCTCAAAGCATTGGTCATGGCCTTCCGCCTCAACGAGCGCAATCTGGTTCGTCGCGTATATGAAGCCACACCCGTGGGCAGCGTAGCTTTGGTAGTCAAAGACCTACCTTCAGTATATCTAGGCCGCTTATTACGATTTGTCGCTCTTCAGGCCGATGAGTCTCCGCATCTGGAATTCAATCTGGTGTGGATTGAATCGCTCCTCAGCAAGCATGGTCGATGGATGAAAGACAACAAGGGCGGCCTCGAGGCTGAACTAAGAAGTGTAGAGAAGGCCGTTCGTAGGATACAAGCTGAGCTCGCCAGACTGGCGGACGAGAACATCTATCGCATTGAATATCTTTTGGCACAGCCGCCAGAGGAGAAAGAGAAGTCAGCACAGCTTGACTTTGGGGTCAAGGCCATTGAAGATGGGACAATGGATGAAGAGATGGTCGATAGTGACGAAGGCGAAGATGTTGGCGAGTGGCTGGGATTTGAAGAGTGATACCATTGTACGAATACGAATCTTGACGAAATGATCTATTGAAGAACCCATCAAAACGTGACCACGAGGGTACGAAAGACGGTGCATGGTACTACACCAAACCTTAGAGGTTTTCGCTATCGTGTATTTATTCGTCGAGGTATGGCAGTACGGTACATCATGGTCCGGTCGTCCCTGCGTCCCAAGTGTTGATGTCGGGCACCAACAACGGGTGATAGCCTGAAATCACTCCTTCCGCCCTCTACGCATCTACGCTGGAAAGCGCCCTACTGTCACAATAAAGCAGTTGCAATGCTCGACAGCCTAAACAAAACTCTGTTGGTTCCGCCAGAACACGCCTCACATATCGCTATTGCACTACCGTCTCACAACAGCCCTCACATCGCCAAATTTCTTGAACTACTACTGTCTTTTGCTATCTGTACTGCCTCCGTTATAGCTGCTTCTTCTCGGGTCACTACCTCTCGTTCAAACCCCACTACTTCGCCCACATGGAATCCTCCATACAAACTCCCATGTACAGCATCTGTCAGGCCACGATCTACATCTTGCCCGGCTAGGTATTCTACGGAAATGGTTCAGAGATTTCCTCTGCCATGGGAGTGGCGACCGGCCAAGATGAAGATACGAGTTGCCGGTACACCGAGACTTCCGCCTCAGACTCCTCCACCGCAGAGTCCTTCGTCACAGAGCCCTACGTCACAGAGTCCTCCATCCCTTACCTGCTCGCCAAAAAGCCCGTCGTCCCCAAGCATCGAACTAAACAAGCCAAAGGGCGCTATGGCGCGACTGGCAATGCGGAAACGTATGGAAGCCATCAGAATACAGGACTCGGATGACAAAATTCGTTGAGCAGGAGACACAGGAGGCTACGCTAGTAGGGAGAGGGACCTGGCATATGTCTGAGGAGCGCTATCATGGTCTAACAGGTCTACTATGAGGTTTGGTTTTGGCGCGTACGATTTATATCATCAGCTCGTGTCTAGATATGTGACATTGTTTCGAACACTAAGAGTCTCCATGGTTGATCAACATTGGTGCTCAGCAGGCTTAGTAGCCTCTACGCCACTGGCCCCAGTATCGATACCTAGGATCGTATCCAGCGTCATAACTTCCATTCCCGTCCCCTCCGTCACCTGGACCGTATGCCCATGGGTACGGCTCACCATAGCCATTATCGTAGTAGTCCGGTTGGCGTGGCTGTTGCGGAGCATAGCCAGGATGTGCAACGCGCTGGTGAACTGACATATCTCCAAACCGGTCTGTCATCCGACCCACACCGCCGTTGTAGCCTAAGCCACCCGCACCGCCGTAACCCTGACGCCTCCTTTCGAAATCAAGCCGGCGCTGTCTAAGGCTTGCCATTTCTTCATCGTATAATTGCGCGTTCATTCGATTTCCGCCAGAGTCGTCTCCACCCATTTGCTGCTGTAGTCTTCTGGCAACCTCTGGATCCCTGTCGGTATCCATTACCACCCCCAAACTTCGCTGTACCTCCTTTGCCACTTGCTCATCACGACTCGTGTCCATGACAACGCGTCGTGGGATCGACACTTGTCCGTCGTAGTTCTCAAAGAAACGTGCCATGAAGGCAGCCTTATCCTTTTCGGAGCGGACTTGTAAGAAGGCGCGGTGGAAGGCTTCTTGGGCTTGGGCGTTGGGGAAGTCGAAACGTAGAATGGGGCGGGAAGTGTCCCAGTTGGGGAGGATTTGAGCAGAGGTGGTTATGCGCCCAGTTGCCGGAGAAGCAGATGAATTTGATGGGACGCTCATTTCTGAAGTCTACTTGATGGTTGTAATTGCGATTTCGTTGCGGGTGTGGTTGAGCGTTGTGATATTCATCTGCAATGCAACAAAATAGATATAGAAAAGTGCCCATGTGATCAAGCACAAGCAGAATCTGAAACTTTGAGACAATAGTATAAGCAGCTAGGCGTCGTGAAAGGCAGGTGCAGCTGACAAGTCAGGTGAAAGCAGTGCTGGAGTCTGTACTCAATTCATGAAACGACACGCGCGCGACCGCTTACGCTTGAGACATTGGAACCGCGTCTATCAATACAGCTGATTACTCGCGTTGATCGTCGGCAGTTGCTTCGAGTACACAGTCAACCTATTGATTTTATGCCGAACACCGTAACGATCATATGACTACACACAAAGGTGCCGATGCTGTTGGTGACAGCCAACACCATTAGGCTCGGCGGACGTATATAAGCCTCATTGTCATTTCTCAGATCCTCTTTTCTTCTATAAACATACCTTGAGAGTCTTCCAAAACCCGAACGGTTCGCGCTCATGGTGTCCAAAATGTTGAACAAGTGATTTCATGTCCTTTTCTCGTGGACTTTTCCACAATTTCCAAATCTATAGTTCCATGTTTGAGTAGACAATCTTTTCCAAGATTCCTTCGTGTTCGAAAAAGACAATGGCCTCGCTCTGGAAGATCGCCGCATCCTTCACAATATCGCTATTCTCCGAAACCAAGATGTGTCCATTTCAAAAATCCACACTTGACAGCCATGTGGGATTGCGGCGCCACAGACTGTCGGGATGAGTTTCATGATCTCCTCATAGATATATTGGCTTGTGCACACATCTTTTGGGTGCTCCATGCTCCATCAACATATCCTGGATACGATAGAAACTGAACCCAACACTTCTCTTGACCATGTTTCCTGGGTGTTTTTGAAGACATTTGGAGCAACTGGTGATCACTGCGATCTACAATTCTGCGGTTCATTTCAAAAGCAAGAAGCAAGTCTGCCATGTTCGAAAACAGCTGCGACAAAAAAGACTCTCGCAATTTATGATGACCCGTAGAACGAGCGGCCTCCAAAAGATAGCTTTGCTACCAAGAAGACACCTATGAGAAGGTGATTGAGGCCATTTGCGCTGGCACCAGTGACTGAACGCACACGTAGCTACCCAACGTGCAGACTTGGAGGGCACCATCTTTCCTTCCATACCGTCGAAAACTTTAATATCAAAATCAAGAATCGGACACTGAATAACGAAGTGAAGAGCTATCACACATGGAACGAAGTCGAGGTTTTCCATACTTGGTCGAGACTCGACCCGAGGTCTACAATAGATGTTCTGGTGAGATTTAGTAATGTCATTCGTCTCCAGAAAGTGCCCAGCGTCAGACTAGATTACGGGCAATCTCATGAGGCCAAATAAAGCAAGGGAGTCGGTGCCGGCGCCAAAGAAGCCATGTGAGCTGTCCATGATTTGATACGCTGTGATAATGAAATCATGTTTATTTGACTGGTGTGAGGCGATGCAGCCGATAATGACCATGCTCAAAATGTGGTGCTCCACCAGCAAAGGAACACTTCCTTATTCATTTCTGCGCTATGGTACAGTATATGGACTTACATGACAGTCAGTCCTGCCGTATTCTTATTTCTTTACATCTAACTTCTTGGTGCTCGCCTCTTATCTGCATTTCTCAAGGACATCCTTGGCGTATTTCACAAACGCTGGTTTCAGCGACTTGCCGCTCTTGTCTTTCGACATATCATCCAACGACTGCATGCCCTCCATCAGGACTTGCTCTGCCTTAGTTTCGAACTTTTGTGCCTCTTCGGCCATGGGCATTTCAGCACCCAGTACTTTGCGAGATGTCTTGAGTGCATTCCACACAATCATTACTTCAAGGAGACTGTAGCTGTGGTCTTTTGTGAATGCCAACTGTGTGGTAACGTTTTTGAATGAATCGGCTTTAGTACTGGACCGCAAGGACGTCATGTCGAGCCAGGCCTAGAAAGGCTTGTCAGTATTCCTTGTGTTTATTGGCGAAGCTCTTGGAAACATACTGTGTAATCACTTTGCTTAAGCGCATTTACCAAACGGTTCGATAGCTTCTTGACTTGTTCCATGTCTCCGCCATGTCGCTCGGCGAGCACAGCAGCCAGTTCGGTCGGCAGTGCAACAACGGAAGGCCTGCCCCTCCAGTCACCTTCAGTAGGCTGATCCTTGCGATTCTGGACTTTGTGGTGCTCCTCATTATCCATGAGCTCGACAATCTGCTTCGCTTGCTTGTACATCTTGGCTGTCTCTTCCTCTGCCCAGTCAGACAAGGTAGCTTTGTCGTGCACACTCCTCAATACTTGTTGCAGCACACCCAAGTTGCTCAGCTTCACGCCTGTTGCCTTTGATCTTTGCAACATCTTGAGGACAAGATGATGCATGTCCGCTAGATTTAACTTTCTTACGACTAGCTCCTGCCACGCGCTTTCGACCTTGATGCCCGCCTCTTCGAATCCCTCCAAGCATCTGACTACATTTTCCCAGTCCTCCTTAGTCTCGCTCTCGGCTACGATCCCCCTGAAAGTCTTGAAAGTGTTTGGCAGTCTGTTCCGGTCGAGGTGTTCGAGAGGAAGAGTGACATCTCCCAGGGTGATCTCTACGGGTTCGGCTTCGAGTTTTGCGCGGGATTCTTTCGAGTAGACAAGCTTCCGTTGTTCTTTCGTCAAGTGAGAGGGAAGAAGGATCTTGGCGTTGAACTTGGAGAGGAGCTCTGATAGTTCGGGCTTGGAGGGTGGGAGGAAGTTTGGGAGAGCGCCTTATGTCCGTGTAAGTATGGTAAGCAGTGGGAGGGCGATGCGGGTGTGGTACGGACCTCTGGAGCTCACCGACGTGCGAGAGAATGCGCGTCTTGAGCCATTGGTGTACAGACAGACATTGTTTGTCCTGAACAAGGCCGATTGGCAGCTCCGCCGTATCGAAGACATGGTGGGATGTATGGCGACTTTCCACTGCGCATGGGCTCCGCAAAGTCCAGAAATTTGGCGCAAACGCGTCAAACGCGCCAAGCCACATCGGCCGTCCCCTCTCCGACGGGCCTCTCAAGCCACGACTCCAGCCTCAAGGTTACACAGCCACATCGCGGTCCCCTCTTTTCCAAGAAGTGAAATGTTAGCCCCAAGGAGGACCAACCGCTACAGCTGGCTCTTCCCCAGAGCAAAGAAGAACCCCAACATGGACAACGAGCAAGCGACTTTCTGGCTGAATCAGTTCATCGGCAAGAATCTACGCATACATGCCAGCGATGGACGCGTCTTTGGAGGCCAGATGAAGTGCACGGATAAGGTAGGCTATGACGTGTGTACGAGCTTGCACTGTGTTGACACGGTATAGGGCCGTAACATCATTCTTGCACTGGCACATGAGTACCGTGCGCCATCAGCCGAGACGATTCGCAAGGCGGTGGAAGAGTCGGGAAATCCATCCACATCCGTAGCTTGGAATAGTCGTTATGTTGGACTGATCGTTGTGCCCGGCCAGCACATCACCAAGATCGAGTTCGAAGAAACCACGTTCCCGGGCCAAAAGAGTGGTGTTACTCTATGAAGAAATCATATATGTCGACTATGGATCGATGATTCCAGATACGCGCACCCAATTCGAGGGGGGAGTGGGCGTAGTCTGGAAGGCCCCACGGCTGGAGCGCTCATTTACTTGGGCGCAAGGTATGTGCGAAGCATGTTAAGATCAATCATACTGTAAACATTGCACTCAAGCGCTGTGATAGGGTCCCAGCTGATGATAGTAGGCCGAGAAAATAGCTGAGGCGAAGGTAGACGTGCCCTCACTTTCTGGTAGCGAACAGTCAACCATGGAGCTATTGTGCAATTCGCAACAGTAGCAAATATGGCCGTGTCTTTTGATGATTACAACTCTATCGTGGGCCAAAATATATAATTTGGTACTAACGCCTGAAGCCTCCACCAGTTCTTTCTAATCTCAAGCCTCACACATATCACTGGATACATCAGCCACCATCAAAAGCGCAGCCATCTACACACTATCACCTCCTGTATCATGCATACCTCGTGCTACAATCCAACGTTGCAGACCCCGCATGCTTCAACCCTGTCCAAAGAGCCACAGATCTCTACAAAACCTGGCCAGGCAGAAAGCTTCGAACCTTCAAGAACCACAAAGTTTCTCTTCAGAAAGTCTTCGAAAACTTTCAGATCCTACAAACGGCCACGAAAGACCCACACCAAAATCCTCGGTCCCCTATCCTCCCATACCACACTAGCGGCCCATCAGGCTGCAATAGCAGCATCGCCCCTACTTTGTCTCCCAGGTGAAATCCGCAACATGATCTATGCGTACGCCCTCACTTCCGAGAAAGGACTCCTGTCCTACGATGTCCAGCGTGGTAGATTCGACGTTTCTGGAATTGGTGCTGGGTTGCTGCAAACCTGCCATATGGTATCGCGCGAAACAATATATTTGCCTCTATTGCTGAACACCCTTGTGTTTGGCTCGCCAACAGGAAGCGGAGAGAAGGAAGAAAGAATGTTGAGGTGCATAGGAAAGGTCATCAAGTTATGGCGAGAGATTGGATTGAAGGGTGGAGCGGACATCAAATTCCTTTCTCAGAAAGAGATAGTATTGGTCTATTCGAAGTGACTTTCTGAGCATGCTCCATTCTGACTCGAAACGTGGGCATGTAGGACGACCAATACGCCCGACGTACCACTTAGATCAAATCCGCCTCGATAACGCTCTCCACAGCCCTTGGATGCCGACTTATATCTACAATACCAAATCCGGCTTCCTTCAACAATCTCGCCCAATGCTCCTCTGTCCTCTCCATTCCACTTGTGCAGTTCATGAGCTGCAAATCCAACGTCGTCATCAAGTTCGTGGCTCCCTTCTTCGGCAGCACAACCTCGTAGATCAGGAGCTTGGAATATCCGCGCTTGAACACAGCGGCCACTTGCGAGAACATGCGTACGCAGTCCGCATCAGGCCAGTCGTGGGGTACGGCATGGAAGAAGTAAGCGCGCGCGTGCTTTTGAGGTTGAGGCGTGAAGAAGTCGTAGGCTTGTTTCACTATCCTCTTATCCAAGTCTTCAATGGGCATTGCGACGACTTCGGGAGTATCTTGCAGGACCAGAACGTTGGCAGGCAGGTCCGGATGCTTGTCAAGAAGACGCGAAGTGTCGAGACCGTGCGCGCCGCCAATGTCCACAAACAAAGGTTTTCCAGTCTGGACATCAGCACCATCGACGATGCGGTTCGTATCGTACACATCTGTCCAGCTCATCTTATGGTTCCGCAGCGCGGTCATCAGACCCATGAAGCTACTTCCCTTGCCCACCGGGTCAGCGGCGCAAGTAGCAAAGAAGTCTTTTCCGCCTGTCATATCGCGGTAGTTGTCGAGTTTGGCCAGGTCGACTGGTTCGACATAATTGTATTTCTTGAGGAAATACGGGAGGTTGACGCCTGTGGGAACGGTATGATCGGTACTGAGAGTTGCGTTAACGGACCACTGAGGAATCTGATTGAGGATGGCTCCACGTACCCGCATTGTGTGATTTGGTCGGTATGCGATACCGTGTCGCCAAGAGAGAGCGAGTACGGTGTAGGCTTCCAGGTATCAACATCTGTCTCTTCTAATACATATAGCGCAGCGATGTGTCTCAAAAATCTTCCTACAAACCACAATATCAGCTCTGTAATTCTTACTTCCAATGACATCTATACTCACGCAACAGATTTGGCTCGGCCTTCGCGTTGGCCCATTTTAGCAGCTGATCCAGATGCACTGGTGCACCAGGGTTCTTCTTATTCGCCTCCGTCCATTGCTTCCAGATGCCGAGGTCAAGAATGGTCTGGATACCGGCGATGAGCACTGGCGTCTCGAAAGACAGCCTCCAGCCTTGCTCAAATGGCGTTTCGAGGCGGTTCAGAAGGCGGCGCGCTGCTTCTTTAGCTTCGTAGCGCTCAGCGTCTGTAGAGAACTGTGAGGGCTGTAAAGAGTCTAGGTTTCTGATTGTGTCTTGGAAAGATGGCATTTTGAAAAGTTCTAATGAGTTTTGATTTGGTAGAGAGCCATGAGCCGGATAGTGTGGGGTACTTATCAGTTCCTGGCATGATTCGTGCTTCAGTATTGTTGACTACATATTCTCGAATTCACGACTCTCTAGTTCCGCTTCTTACAGACCCTGGTCATCTCACGGTTTATCGCCTACCGCGAACGGCAATAAGGTCTTGGCAGATGTGGGGTCGATCAGGGAGTTGATCCTTAGTGTACGTTGACATGTGCCCATGACTCGGCTGAGAAGACTGTTATTGCTGGGGTGGCCTTATCGTGCAGGTCGTAAGATGAGCGGCTCAAGTGTATGCTTTGAGTTATTGTTGGTGTCTAGCGACCCCTAATTGACGAGGACTATATCTTGGGCAACAAGAGTAGTGAGTTACATTTGCGGTGATGTGCGATATGAAAGGTAGGCTGTATGTAACCAAATGCTAGGCGGACGCGTCAAGCAATCCCTCTCCTCCGCGGAAGGAATCGAAATGTCGGAGAACAGCGCCAATCAGCGGGACGTTACGACAGCTTCAGGGGCTATGGGTATCTTCCCGCATCCCTTCAAGCCATACGTCCGGGGTTACCATCTCGACTTGCTCCTCGCGCTGAACATCTCCACTGCGAAGGCACTGGAGATAGCATTGGATCTTTGAACAATTCCGACGTGCTCTCTTTGCTGCTTGTCTCAAAGTCCGTCATCTTGGTCTCGATATCCGTCATCTTGTATATCTCGAAGCCGGTCTTTTTCTTCTTTCCCAACGTACTGGTATTTGTCCGCGACCTGTGGGAGTCCTTGGATACGTAGCCGCTCGAAGAGTGTCTTGTTGCCCATGTTTCTGCTCGAAAGAGGCTGTTGATTACGGGTGCATTCACTGCGAATATGGACACGATCTGTTGCACACGATCAGATACCGAAATTATGGCTTGTAGGTGAATGGCAGACTTACGGCTTCGCGTTGTGCCCACACTGAAGAGAGAGCCACTTGGACGGAGGTGCCGATGGACAAAATGCAGCGTGCGATAGCCATGCCCATAACGAAGAGACCGAGAGACAGGAGAAAGATGACTCGAATTTTGCTTTGAACATGTATCAGCTTTGGCTCTTCTTATATGGGGAATAAGCTCACCGCCATAGACTGATCTTTGCATCTTTCAGCATCCATAAAGGAACAACGAGCAACAAAGCATCCACTCTGTATCATGCGTTAGCTACATATCGCTAAACTTTGAGGATTTACCCACAAGACGTTCCCGACAGCAATGACAATGTTAATCACAATGCCAGCTGAGCACTCTTTGCCTGGGTCAGGAAGAATTTGCCAGTTTCTCTTCAAAGGCAAGCAGTGTGTGGTTTGAGTGATGATGGCAGCTATACATGCAGCAATCGAGATAGCGCCCACGGCTTGAACATAATGGTAGAGCCTAGTACTTCTCCTGCACGCGAAAGTTAGTATCGATCTTGCGGAGCGTCATAGACTGCACTTACGTCAAACGCAGAAAGAGAATAATGAGCGAGCCTTTCAGACTCCAAACTAAGAAGATCAAGAAGTAGAACGAGGCAAACATGCCCTTTGCACCCTCTCGCATCGACTTTCGCATCGCTGGTGGGAGTGCTTCACGCTGCTCTTGGGTCATGGCTATTGGTGCACCCATTATACCTGGAGATTGTCAGTCAAACGATCAAATCGCGAACTCACTGCTATCTTCGACTTACTGAGATACTCCACCATAACGTAGATGAGAGTGAAGAATACCCACGACCAAAATGCAAAGAAGTCATCCCAGTAGAAGCCTCGCCATCCCAATGTCTTCCATCTCGTGAAGAATCTTGCAGCTATAATGACACTTCCAAGGGCGTATTCAACGCGGCACTCAATGAGCGTTGCATTAGGGTCAGACATCTTTGTAGTCCGATGCAGAAGACAGTGGATAAGTTGGTGCGCTAGACAGCCTTCACGAGGTAAATTGTGCTATATGAAGCGTTCATTCTCTGAACAGTCTGCGGTATAGGAGTACACATGGCATCGCATGCACAATGCTTCGTACTCTTGATTCGGATAAAGAGACGTCGATGAAAACTGGGGGAAGGATTCTTTATGACAGGGATCGGACTGAAGGTAGGAGAACTGAAGGAAGCCTCACGATCAGGCAGCTTGTCTTTCACGGACCCAAATCTGGTTCATTACATGTCGATGATATTCTTTAGGGGAAAAGATGGTCATCACTGAGACCTCAATCACCTAAACCATGAATCTCTCATCCTTGCTCTTGCTTGATTCGCTTGAGGATGCATAACGCGGCGAACAGTCGTGGGCTGCGGATAATGTCTCGCTGAGACGGTCAAATCTTGACTCAAGTGGCGTGAGCCATGAGATACGGCAGTCAGGAAAAGGTTACGGCTCCGGTTGAGACGCGCAATCTTGGCGCCAACACGGTCGGCCCAGTCGTCTGGTACCTCGCTTGCAACTTTTCAACGCCCACCCAGATGCATCGGTGTTAGCCTCATGTTAAGGAGCGGCCCATCCCAGCTTCTGCCGAGAGACCGCGTTTCGAGCAGCCTTTTCTGTGCATGATTGTCATGTTCGCTTGCAAATGCCGGTGTGCGGTGAACCTGCGCTATTCTCCGCGTACCTGTCGAACATCTGAACATCCACGCCACCTTGCCGAAGGAACTGTTGCATGTGGCGCGGGCTCTTCCATCAAAACAAGATCGTCAGCATCGACGCGATTCTCTATCTGCACCTCGTACAGATGTGCGTAGAAGTCGTGTGCGTAGCTCTGCAGAGAATCCGATCGCTCAATGTCAACCCCAATGAGAATGGAACGTGTTTCGGCGTTGCATCTTGGCCAAATCCTTCAGCGGCACCGCACCCTTGAACGCTCAAGGAACCATTTCGGTGAAATGGCGCCGCAGTGCTGGGTCAAAGTAATCGCGTGTGGCATGACGAGTATTTGCAAGGGTGTAATTGTAACGGCTGAGCGATGACGATGGAATGTCCACTGAACATCGCGAACGTCCGCTCGTTAGCTTGCCTCGCGGAACCGGGTATCAACGGCCATATCCCCGCTCCCGTTCTTACCACACATCTTACGACCCGAGCGCGCAAAGAGCTCTGTGAACTTGAACGGAAGCATGCGCTCACACAACTCGATTGCAAACAATCTTTCCGGTAAAACCGTGTTGATCACTGGGGCCTCTTCCGGAATCGGTCGCAGTACTGCACTCGAGTTCGCTCGTTCATCACCACAAGATCTGAAGCTTATTGTTACAGCGCGAAGGGTCGGCCGACTCCATGAGCTCGCCACAGAGATAAAGAATGAAACTGGCGATGGCGTGAAGGTTTTCGTGATGGAACTTGATGTCTCAAGACCGGAAGAGATCGAGGCGATGTTTGGAGAGCAAGGACTACCAGACGAGTTCCGCGACGTGGATGTGCTGGTCAATAATGCGTGTGTATTCCATTAGAAGGTTTACTTCATTCGTTGACAACTACGAAAAGAGGCTTCATGTCAGGCGTCGAACAAGCACCCGACATACCAACACACGTAATTCAGGATGTATGGGCAACGAATGTGCAAGGTGTAATCAACATGACGCAAGCAGTGATGAAGATATTCAAGAGGCGACCAGACGGCGGCAAGGGCGATGTTGTGATGTTAGGAAGTATTGCTGGGCGAGAGGCTTATGTTGGTGGATCGGTGCGTGGCCTTTCTGACAGATAATCTGTTTTGAACTCGTAATGGTTGTGAACTGAGAATCATGCAGATATACTGCGCTAGTAAAGCAGCGATTCGGGCCTTCACTGATGCTTTGAGGAAAGAGTCGATCAGCACACGTATCCGAATCATAACAGTAGATCCGGGGCAAGTCTTGACAGTAAGTATCGCGATTTTATGCCTACTCACGCTAACATGGTGCACACAGGAGTTCAACGACATCCGGCATCGCTTTGACAAAGAGAAAGCAGATAAGGTCTATGCGTACGATCTTTGCAACTTGCCTTAGGTTCCGGACAGGCTTGCTGACAGACATCTAGCGGTTGCGATCCACTCACTCCAGATGACGTTGCTGAACTCATAGTATTTGCATCCAGTAGACGGGAGAATGTCGTCGTTGCAGACATGCTCGTGTTCCCGAATCACCAGGTAATGGGCCTGGTCAGCTGAAAGGTTGCGCAGGAGAGCTAATCATGCCCTAGGCTTCGGCAATACACGTCCATAGAAGCCTATAAGAGTGGGGCTCAGCTCTTCAGCTCTTTCGACGTGAGTAAGGCCCACTGCGATGGATTCGAGGGCGACTATGACGAGCATTGTATGGAGGGCAACTGTTGTACTGAGTATGGCAGGATGTGAAGTCGTTACGGGCTGAAGAGCTTCGTTGGCTGCTTTTACTCCAACCTTGGAAGTAAAGACGACAAGAATTCGTGCCTACTGCACGTTTTCGCAAGAGTTCGGGTCTGGAAGAACTGGCTAGTCCAGCTTCACATGATCGCGGCGAAGCATAGGGCGAGAATAATTCTCATTTGCACAGCATCAGTGAAAGCTCAGCCCGGGCTGGACAGGACGCGCTACAGCCGATCCGGTCTAGCACGTCGCGTCTTGACGCGTTCTCAGTGATGTATATGATGACGTTTACACCGCAGCCCGTTTCATTTCACATATCCCATCAGCCATGACATGTAAAAGGACAAGAAGCGATTTGAGGAATCTTGGTGCTATCAAGCCTCATATCTAGGCGCGAACCGTTAGCTTTGAGGCGACGCGTGTTTCTAGCAAACGGACTGCCCACATGTCCAGCAGTCCTCCGTCAACGCGGGGGAGATCCAGAACTCGAGCTTACGAGTAGACGATATTTCGCATCAACCCTCCATCTCGACATCCTCGTCTACCACCGCCTTGCCGTTGCCCTTCGCTTCACTTACAGGCTGAGAGGGCGTCAGAGGTTTGATTTGAAGGAGCAAGCACTCTATACTTCAAGGGTGAAAATACGAAGTCAGCATATATTTTGCATGCATTTTACACAATCGCAACTTACCCTGCTTTCTGGCGGCACATTTCGCACTTTTCCCCGTACCACATGGGTTCTGGAAGCTCTTCGCCAGTTGAGATCATTCGGACGTAGCCTCTTTCACTTGCCAATGTCTCATTGACATATTTGCATCCGTCATCGGGACATCGCCATACGAAGAGCTTAATAAGTGGGTTGATACGAGGCTTAGCCTTAGTCGGTGTAGGAAAGTATCGAGACATGCTGGACGCGGCTGTACTTTTCTGTGGCGAGTAAGAGGTGGGTCCTCGTGCGACGGGTGGGCGGTAAGATATTGCTGTGTTCTTTGTGGTTGGGATTGTGTGGCTACAGTTGAGGGTGTATAGGGCGCAGTTGAACCTTGAGAAGAAAGGGGGTTCGACGATGCAGGTGAGAGTGAGCTGAAAGAGTAGGCACATATCGTCATTGTTCGTACCATGACAGCGTGGTGAATGAGGAACAATCGTCACTGTATTTCTGACTAACCAGGTGACACGTTCCAAAACTGGAAGACTCACGCATTTCCTAGGAACTGTATACACTAGCGTACACGTCGCGACCCGTACGTCTGTGCGGCAACCGAGAGCAAACGCATGTATAACCACAAGTTTAGTGTTTTCGAATGCGCAAAAGAACCGAGATCTTCACACACTCTCTCTCTGACAGCCACAAAGTATGTCGGACAACGACGCCAACGGAGAGATGGATGCTAGGGAACTGGGCAACAATCAGTTCAAGAAGCGACAGTTCACGAAAGGTAGATGGACCCCCTCAACCCTCCACGAATGACGCTAATGGTTCTTGAGCAATCGCATCTTACCAGAAAGCTGCTGCTCTATACCCGAATGATTATCGCCCCTTGCTGAACATCTCTGCCGTCCACTACGAGCTCGGCAACTACACCAAAGTGATCGAGGACGTACGCCAAGCACTCTCCCTGATACCAGTAGCCAACAATGGCGCAATGTCAAAGGCAATTCTGCGTGCATCCAAGGCGCATGTTCATCTCAAGCAGTACGACCAAGCGAACAAGCTCTTGGAGAGGTTGGGCGAGTCGACATCGAAGGCCGAGATAGAACGATGTGTTACGCTAGGTCAAGAGTCTGAGGCCGCAAAAACATTCGGATTAGGTGTCAGGAATCTACCACACTACAAGCCCGCTATCGCGATCGCCCCTGATTGCTTCAACGTGGGCAACGATGACGCTATGCCGCTATTTGATCATCTGCTCATATCGAATACGTCGGCTTCTGAGACCATCACTTACTTCTTTGGAGGCATTGGCGATGCTAGACATCTTTTTCAGACGATCCGGATGATCTGGGCTATCGAGAGCGAGAGCGTCAACAAAGGGCGGGTGCTGGACCAGCGGGCGGAGATGAAGAAGTGCAATTACCATTTCACTGTGAACGACATCAATGGCTGCGCATTAGCTCGTCATCTCCTTGTTCTACTTCTACTCGAAGAAATCGCAGATGCTGTTGGTAACACAGCGCCGGACCAAGTCAACAAGCCTCCTGTCGCCTTGGTTACACTATTCTTCCTGTATGCCGGCTACGTCATGCCCGCCCAGAACTACGAATGCCTACAACAGACCATCAGTCGCGCCCTTCAAGTTTTGGCTGGAGATGCAACATTGCCAGGCTTTCTGTTTGTGTACGAATACGGGCGCGAGTCCATTATTACTGCTCTTCAACAATGGCAGAAAGCAGCGGCGGATGCCTTTCCCGCCCACAACCTCGTCTCCCAAGCGAAGGCTACCATACAGCGTTGGTCAGAAACGGGTCAAAAGACCGACGTCGCGGGTATGGCTTCAGAAGGATGCCACGAAGAGCTTCAGTATTGGATCGTTTCCGGTTTGCTATTACCACCTGA